TTATTTATTATTTTATTTTATTTTGCAGCTCTAAACTAGACAATGTTAGTTATAATTGTGGTCTCCCATAGTTTAAAAATAAACTGAGGAATAATTAGAAAGGTGTTGCTTTGCTTCTTGTATTGGTGTAAAAAAAGAAAATAAATAAAGGAAGAATACTCAAAAGTGGTGTTATAAATCAAATTGTAGCGTATATGGGTAGAAATATGCAGAGGACAGAGCAGCCACACTACAAATGTGTCTGATCTGGCCAAGATTTAAAAACTTACATCAGGTTATTCAGCAGCCAAGAGTGGTGGGATTGAGACGTGCTTCGCTGCTTCACTGACATGGACGAGAAGAACGTTTGTGTACATTTGTGACGTGTAGGTGGGATGAATGTGACCTGACCGTTCAGACTGAAGCTGCATGTCAAAAGATCGGATATGTGTCGGTTTTAGGAGCACATATCCAAGTGTCCTGCATTCGTGTATCATCCGTTCATTCGTTTTTCAATATAAAACTAAAAACAAGAAAACAAAAAAACAACTCATTTCTTCATTATTTGTCTCCAAAACCAAAATGAAAAAAGAGATAATGTATAACGGACGTTTTCCGTTTCTGTGACTTAAACTGTGATGCTGGACTAAACCAGGACTCCTGGTCTGGTCCCGATCTCGGTCCCGGTCCCGGTCTCGGTCCCGGTCTCGGTCCCGGTCTGGTCCCAGTTTCAGTCCCGATCTCAATCACGGCCTGGTCCTGGTCTGGTCCCGGCTTCAGTCCCGGTCTCAGTCCCGGTCTCAGTCCCAGGTCTCAGTCCCGGTCTCAGTCCCGGCCTCAGTCCCGGTCTCAGTCCCGGTCTCAGTCCTGGTCTCAGTCCGGTCCAGTCCTGGTCTCAGTCCTGGTCTCAGTCCTGGTCTCAGTCCTGGTCTCAGTCCTGGTCTCAGTCCCGGTCTCAGTCCTGGTCTCAGTCCTGGCTCTGTTCCCAGTGTCAGTCCCGGTCTCAGTCCCGGTCTCAGTCCCAGTCCCGGTCTCAGTCCCGGTCAGTCCCGGCCTCAGTCCCGGTCTCAGTCCAGTCCTCTCAGTCCTGGTCTCAGTCCCGGTCTCAGTCCCGGTCTCAGTCCCGGTCTCAGTCCTGGTCTCAGTCCCGGTCTCAGTCCCGGTCTCAGTCCCGGTCTCAGTCTTGATCCCGGTCTCAGTCTGGTCGGACCTTTTTCAGTCCTGGTTCAGTCCGGCATCACAGTTTAAAGTCAAGAAAACGGGAACGTTATCTGATTTTTCCATTCTTCATTTAAACACAAAATTGAAAACAGAAATACAAATCATTATCCGCTTTTTTCATTTTGGTTTCAGAGACAAATAATGAAGAAATAGTTGTTTTTTCATTTTCTTATTTTTGGTTTTATATTGAAAAAACGAATGAACGAATGATACACGGATTGGGCTGGGTCGCATTTGAAAAAAAATCAGATCTGAGTCATTCAGACTGTCATTAAAAGATCAGATACAGGTCTCTGGGGGTGAATAAAAAATCAGATTTGGGTCACTTCAGGCTACAGTCTGAACGCAGACCTAATCTCAAGATCATTATACAGTATATTTCACTAATATTTTAGCCCTCAAACTCTTATTTATTCTTGCATTTCTTTAAAAACAGCCTTGCTTTCGTTTGTTACAAAATCAAGTAGACCAAGCGTACGTCTTCACACTGCGGTATCGTCGAGTAAACCAACGCCACGTATCAGTATCGGAAAAATCCCCAAAAAATAGTATTGGAAAAACACTAAATCTTGCCTGTACCTGCCCTGTAATCTTCCCCCGTGACCTGGCAACACCGAGACTCACTACGACACCATAAAACATCCAGAAGTCCCAGAATAACCACATATGTAATCCCGCGTCTTTGTTTGTACTTTGTTTTTTAGGAGGGACAGGTGCCTCTCGTGATCCGACCAGAGCTCCGCTAAACTCTGTGACTCAGGGGTTAGTCAGTGTAGATCACAGCTTGTATACAGCGCACGCATGACAAGACTTAAAAACCCCGAGTCGGAGTTTAAAGCTTTGATCTCGCTTATTATTAACAGCGGATCAGATCCAGATGTTGAATTTGTGACATGAAAAAGACCAAACACCAGTCACTCACGGACGTTTTCTGGACAGTTTTATCATGAGAAAGGATCGTTCAGACTTTAAGGGCCTGTCAAAATCACGAGTTCTTTTTACACAATATAACATTTCGGATTATATGAAATCTTAAAATGATTTCTGCTGACATTAAAGGGCCCGTATTAATCTATTTTCTAATCTAGGTTATAAATGTTTCCTTGTCACAAACAGACTTGGAGTTGTGTTTTGTTTCATTCACACATGTTTAACACACAAACCCTGCACATTTAGGCTTATTTAGGTTCTTCTCCTAAACGGAAATACACTGTTCCAACTTGTGATGTCATCTGGTAATACAGGAAGTGCTCCAAAGTGTCGTCACACACACCTGCACTTGAATCATTTGGATAATTTCAGTCCTGGAATTGCCGATCTCTACTGAACTAAAAAGAAAAAAGGAGCTGCTAACTTAAAAAAAAAACCAAAAAAAAACTACCACTTCATGACATCACAAGTTGGAACAGAGCAATAATGTTGTCACCTCAAAAACAAATCTGGAGTTGTGTTTTGTTTCATTCACACATGTTCGAGTAATCCTTTGTCTTCATCAGAGGCGGGGGCTTGGAAGTCGTGACTTGGACTCGAGTCAGACTTGAGTCACTAATTGTAGGACTCGAGACTTGACTTGATAAAATGGACTAAGACTCGGGGCTCGACTTGGACCTGAAGGTCAATGACGTGGGACTTGGACTTGAGGAGACTCGAGAAGCACTTTTAAATCTGAATTCTTTCCATTCTGGCTGTAATGAATCACCCCAACATCTTTCCAAGACATTTAAAAAGGAAAAAAGAACATTTCTACTACTCTTACACACGCTACAAATACTCATGTATAAATATACTATGACTTTATAAGTACAGTTTATCTTAAAAATTATATAAACTGCTAAAATCTAAGCTATATTTGGTATTTTGGTTTAAAGACTTGAAATGACTTGAAGTTCAAAGCAGACGACTTGGACTTGACTTGGATTTATGGACCAGTGACTCGAGACTCGACTTGGACTTGCCTGTATTTGACTTGGGACTTGACTGGGACTTGAGGCCTGTGACTTGAGAAGACTTGAGAAGCACTTTTAAATCTGGATTCATTTTATTCTGACTGTAATGATTCACTCTAAGATCTTGTCAAAACATTTAAAAAGTAAAAAAAAAAATGCATTTACAACTCTTATTTACTCTATAAATGTTCATATATAAATATAGTATGACTTTATAAGGTCAGTTTATCTTAAAAGTCGAATAAATTGCAATTGACTTGGACTTATGGGGCAGTGACTCAAGACTCGACTTGGACTTGCTTGTGTTTGACTTAGGACTTGACTCGGACTTGAGGTCAAAGACTTGAGACTTGCAAAACGACGACTTGGTCCCACCTCTGGTCTCCATCACCAAAGCTCAAAATTCTCCGTTCCATCTTGTGATGTCATATAGTTGTAGTTTTCAAGTTCACTGCTTCTTTTACCTTTTGTTTAGCAGATGAGCCAGACCCCGGGATGTAAAAATGGCCGATCATTCAAGTCAATGGGCCGAGCTCAGAGGCGCATGTCTCCATATTAGCCTCGTCCAGTGAGGTTCTTCCTGTGGCTGTGGGCTGATAGAGCATGTGCAGCAACGTCTTTTGTCACACGGGCACACGCCAACTGATCGATGGCTTTGACCGATGAGAGCGAGGAGCCAGAGCAGTTTTTAAGACAACAGAAGGATTTTGAGCTGAGAAAAAGTTTATGATCTAAAAATAGGAAAAGATCACCACAAAATCCAACATTTTTAAAAGTTGTAGGTGCCCTGTCAGCCCCTGTCAGCCCCTGTCAGCCCCTGTCAGCCCCTGTCAGCACCTGTCAGCCCCTGTCAGCCGAACATGAGCAATTTGTTATTAAGTTGTGCTCTATGGGAAAAATCTCAGACCAGGAGATTTTTTTTTTTTTTGCTGTAGTACCAGCGAGTGTCACTACGCCAACGGGAGACAGACACAAGTAGCAACACCCTCCAGTTATTTTAATATAGACATGTCAAACTCAGGTCCGGGGGCCAAATTTGGCCCATGATATAATTATATTTGGCCCATGAGATCATATCAAATCTGTATTAGAGCTGCCCGCCAGCTACAGATAAACTATAGAGACATTATTTATTTAAAATGTTGTTATTATTTTATTTTGTGCTTGGTCTGGATTCAATGTTTAATCAAAACTATTATTAAACATTTATTTTAATAAGAAAAGGTTTAACATTACATATCTTGAAAGAAGAGAAAAAATGCAGATGTTGTTGAAATTTTTCAATAAATATTAAGTTTGGCCCACGACTCAGTTCCAGTTTTTAATTTTGGCCTCTGTGAATTTGAGTTTGACACCCCTGTTTTAATAGATCCACAAGTTAAGTGGCAACTCCAGCACTGAAATCATCCAAATGATTCTAATGAAGGTGTATGGAGTTTAAAAACACAGTGGCGCACTTCCTGTATTACAGCATTACATCACAAGGTGGAACAAAGTGTTTCCTGTTTCCGCTTACAGTAAATCTGCAGGGTTTGTGTGTTAAACATGTGTGAATGAAACAAAACACAACTCAACTCTAAGTCTGTTTGTGATGAGAAAACTACATTGTAACATGGATCAGAAAATAGTTTAATACAATATGGGCCCTTTAAATCACAAATCTAACGTGATAATTGTCAGAAAAAACATTTATTTTCATATTTTTTCCCCAAATGGATCAGCCCTGATTAATCATCCATAATCACCTTTTGGTTCATTATCTAAAAAGGGCTTCTGACTGACAAACAACAATACCCACGAGGCCGTCTGTTTTCATAAATACGATTGATTATAAACCGATTTGGCTGCACTCACCCGGACGAGCCCGCGCTTTTGCACACCCCGAGCAGAGGTCTTTTGTCGGAGAAACTGTCCGTCTTCACCGGGCCTGGAGACGAAACACAGAAGAGAGGAATAATGACATTTTAAAAAAAAAACACAAAGAGGGCCTTTCTGTTAGATACATACACTCAGACCACACACTGCACCGCCGCGACAGGAAATGGCCTGATTCGATTACTACTGCTGCTATGGAACTTGGTTATGCTTTGAAGAACAATTTGGAGTTTTGCACAGAGGTTTGCACAATACGTCGCGAAATTACAGTCGTTGAAATATAAGATGATATAAAATCCATATTGCGAGAAGAGGCTGTCCTAGTTTGATCCCCGCGCGATGCCAGAGGAGTCCTAATGTCGTTTGGGTTTGGTACTGTTATACTTAGTGCTGTTCTGATACCATTTTTTGGGGGGGATTTGATTCGATACCGATACTTGGCCTTGGTGTAATCGCTATAGGATGTAACAATAACTGAAATATCGTGATATCGTATCGTCAGAGTTCTCACAATAATATCGTGGACCATCACAATCAGTGTTGGGGAGTAACAGATTACATGTACCGGAGTTATGTAATCAGAGTACAAATTATGAGTAACTGTATTCAGTTACAGTTACTGTTTGAGTAATTGACTGAGTGGTAATTGGATTACAGTTACTTTGTTGAAATAAATGGATTACACAGCGGTATTTTCCTGTTTTCACATTTTGGGCTAAACCAGGACTAAAACCAGATCTAAACCAGGTTTAAACCAGGTTTAAACCAGGACTAAACCAGGTCTAAACCAGGTCTAAAACCAGGTCTAAACCAGGTCTAAACCAGGACTAAACCAGGTCTAAACCAGGTCTAAACCAGGTCTAAAACCAGGTCTAAAACCAGGTCTAAAACCAGGTCTAAACTACAACTAAACCAGGTCTAAACCAGGACTAAACCAGGACTAAACCAGGACTAAACCAAGGACTAAACCAGGACTAAACCAGGACTAAACCAGGTCTAAACTACAACTAAACCAGGTCTAAAACCAGGACTAAACCAGGTCTAAACTACAACTAAACCAGGTCTAAACCAGGACTAAACCAGGTCTAAACCAGGTCTAAACCAGGTCTAAACTACAACTAAACCAGGTCTAAACCAGGACTAAACCAGGTCTAAAACCAGGACTAAACTAGGACTAAACCAGGTCTAGGTCTAAACCAGGACTAAACCAGGACTAAACCAGGACTAAAACCACGTCTAAACTACAACTAAACCAGATCTAAACCAGGACTAAACCAGGTCTAAAACCAGGACTAAACTAGGACTAAACCAGGTCTAAACTACAACTAAACCAGGATCTAAACCAGGACTAAACCAGGTCTAAAACCAGGTCTAAACTACAACTAAACCAGATCTAAACCAGGACTAAACCAGGTCTAAAACCAGGTCTAAACTACAACTAAACCAGATCTAAACCAGGACTAAACCAGGTCTAAAACCAGGTCTAAACTACAACTAAACCAGGTAAAATTATTCTGCACTTGGCACATTCATGACTAACGTGTGAGTCAGTATAGTCAAATTTTCTTTGTGTTTTGGGCCTTTTTAAGCAGCTTTTCTATATTTAACTAAAACAAATGACAGTTTATGCCTCTATTTACTGTTGGCAGGGATAAAATTGGTCAAAAATAGAGACACCTGAGACATTTCTTGGATAAATCAGTGGTTTTGTATAAATCTGCAGGGACAGGGGACACAGGGCTCAAAACTCGGACTGTCCCAGGTAAAAAGAGACGTCTGGTCACTCTCGGGTATCGGTATCGGAACAACCCAAGTTATAGTGTTGGTTTAGTAGCATTTTAGTCATAATTTTGCGGTGTGAAGTGTGAACGTAGCTAAATGCCAAGGTTTTCATTTGATAGAGGTTTTGTTTTCAGTTTATTAAATAACTCAAAAAAATATGCAGTTTTGTTTTTGTCATTATCTTCTTAAATAAAAGTGCACTGCGGAACTTTTCTCATGGAGGCTCTGTCACCTGCTTGTTTCTATGGATATGCCATTGCTCTGTTTGAAATGTTCCACAGTGTGACTTTAAACAGCTCTACTTTACATTTATTCAATTACAGGTGGTTTTAAAGCTTAAAAACGCCTAGAAAAACAGACATTCTGACTGTGAGCGGGGTCGCCTCTCCACAGATCTGACCCGTAACTTGGTCTGGTTTGGTGTCCATAAAGACAGAAAGGTTTATCACCATTCCAGACAAAGAAATAACATCTCCAAGGAGAAAATAATTTAACAGACTCTTCACAAGAAATGCCACAAAATACATCTTTAGGTCCTCGTTTTGCAGAATTTTGTTCCTTTTGTTAGTCTTTGTTAAGTTTTTACACAAATACACATTACAAACCATTTTAGTTACTTTAAAAAAAATCACAAAATTAATAATCTTCTAATCCAACGCAGCCTAGTTTTGTTCATGAATTTATACAAAGTGAAACAGGACCAAACCAAGTCTACATCAAGACTAAATGGGCTCAAACCAGGACTAAAACCCTCAAAATAAAACACAACGTAGAACTCCCCACGCCGTTTCATAAATAAATCATAAAACAGGATATAAATAATTAGATCTGGGCTATAGTCTGGAACAATAAAGGCTTCAGTGCGACGAGGGCCGATGCTAATGACGTCCAACCTGCCTGACCTCTGCGGGAAAGAACCGGGCCCACTGGATTACAGGCACTTCTGTTACTTCAATGGAGAACTGTCACCGCCCAGGCCAGCGGAAGAGAACGCATTTTGGGGCCATCGGAAGTCCACAAGTTCACGCAGGGGGTACAGAAGGAAATATATGAATTTATTTAACATATCTGCTTCTGTATTCTTGGAAAAAACACATTTGAATTACAATCTGTGTGTGTTCTGGAGTCCATTTTTAGACACTTTTGGGACAATTGGTCTTTTAATGGTCGATCGCAGAAAAACAGTTGCCACGTTTACATGAGAGCTTTAATTCCTAATAAAAAATGATTTAACCCTTTCACGGCGTATTTAAAAAAAAAGGTTTTGTGTGTGTTTTTGCCTTTACGCAGATGGTAAATTAAGTTGAGATGATTAAAAATATATATAAATAGAAGTGTGAGTATGTTGCAAATTTGCGTCAACTAGAAAGAAGTGCTCGCCAAAGTTTCCTAGGAAGGTCTTGCATAAGTACGAACCGGCATTGGGGGAATGCAGCAGATATTCCGGTTTATATCTTAATCCAAAACAGTTTGTTGCATATTTGAGACAGTCGGTGTTAAAGGTTGTATAGAAGATTTTCCAAGGAAAGAGAAAAGCAGCGACTGTTTGTCCTTTTTCAAATATCACGATATGCTCCCTTTCCCTTTCTCTTCTTGTTTCAGCGACGTCAGAAACAGACTCTTTTTTTTTTTGCGGTGAACTGGTCGTGAATTCTTGTCTGCCCTTACAACAAACTTTGTGCAAACTGAGAGGAAGCTACAGTTCGAAAAAGACGCTAAGAACCGAACTGTGTTGGTTGAGTAAACAGAATCAGTGCGTGAGAGGCGAATATAAACCACGCAATCCCAGCGCTAGAAACATAGGGAGTCTGATTGACAACCCAAAAGCCAATACATGCATCAAGAATCTCTGACTTCTGGGCATTGCGCAGTGCACACTGGGAAGGATTTTCCGAAAAAGTGAGCATCAAACCGTCATGTTGGATTTTACAGTGGGATGCGTCTATTCACAAAGTCGATCTTTTCTAGTCTTTTGAACCATATCACTTTTGTTTCTGGTTCTGATATTGTCATATTTTAGTTTTGGGATTCGGACATCGTTAATTGCGTGGCTGTTGGATCCTAAAAGCGGAAAACGGCTCGAGAAATTTGTTTGCGAACTCCATAAATGCAAAAGGGAATCAGATGTGTGTGACTGTAAACCTCTGTTCAAACTGTTTCTCTTCCGAACTGAATTGAAAAATAGTGAAAGGTGAAGGCGATGGGCAGGATTGATCCACAGGAAGAAACAAAAAGGAAACATCTGACTGTCTAAATCATCCCGAGTTTGCAGTGAACATTTTGTATGTGGAGCGACAACAAAGCAGGATCCCGTTTGTGAAGCGAGAGGAGCAGAAGACAAACAGACTGAGCTGCACTTTCTTGTTCTTGTGGTTTTACAGCAACATCACGTCTCGGTCTCATTGCAGTGGAAGGTGTTTCTTGGTGAACAGTTGGTGCTTTTCACTTTAGTGTTGACTTTTTAAATTCGTAGCCAAGGCTGAGTGAGGGATCGGGATTTTGCTAAACACTTAATTCCTAATGAAAATGATTATTCGGAATTAAACTTAATTCAGAAGTAAGTGGGTGGTTTATTCAGGTTTTAAAGTTCAGTTAATTTATTCCTTGATTATGTAAATGTTTATTCTTCTTAAAAATAATTCAGTGCATGCTCGCTGGGTCGCCCTTCTGATGAGACTTTCCTCCACGTCTCTTTGGATTTGTGAGCGGGATGTGGGAGTGGGCTGAGGTAGAGCAGCCTCACGCTCACTTTGTCTTCTTCCTCTCTTCTCCGACGCTCTTCCCTTCTCCTCCTCGGCCGACAGACGTCAAGCGTGATGAGACAATTCTCCAGCCGCTGCTTCGCAATTATCATCGGAACCACCGGGGGAAAAGTTTGGATCGCGTTTGTGTCCGTGGAGTAACGACAAACCGAGACGACAGAAAAGCCGTCAGCAGCTGAAGTGTTTGTTTTCTTCGACTAAATTCGTTTGTGTCTCTGTCCAATCAGAACCTTCCCCACCCCCAGACGCTGAGCCCGATTAAATAAAAACGATTTATCGAGTTTTCCGTGTAAACCTCAATTTGGAATTAATATTTCCACGTAAACAATTCAGAAGAAACAATTCGGAATTAAAAATCACCACATAAACGTGGCCATTGTAACTTCCCAGACTGAAATCACTATTGATGCTTTGCAGTGCCATTACGCTGGGGGGTAGTGCATGTATGTCTATGGCAGAATGTTCAGCAGTCGCCATGGTAAAAAGCCCTTCTGGGACTGGTGTTGCGAATTACAGTTTATAAACACTGCCGTACCCGCACCGGATTACTGAATTGTTCATGTACGTTTGTGTATCTGTTCCTGTTCAAATAAACAACACAGAAATAAACAGTGACACAATCTACACATTTTAGCAAAAACAGACAAGTTTTTGCGTTTTAGTCTTATATATCTCACTTATACAACACATTTTCAATAGTCTGTAATGAATACAAACGTTCACGGTCCTTTTTTAGGTGTTCTATTTTCAACAAATGTTATTTTAGAAGGACTTTTTTAACACCACAAATCAGATCACCTGTTGTAGTTCCAGCTCAATGTCCGTTCTTTAAGGTCAGATTGTGTTAAAGGTGCACTGTGTAACTTTTCCAGTGGAGCGTCCGTGGTTTGAGGTGGTTGGTGTTAATAAAATTGTGAAACGTGTGCGTAACAAAGGAAAACTGTCCTGCACTCGGCCCATTCGTGACTAACGTGTGAGTCAGTTTAGTCACATTTTCTTCGTGTTTTGGTCATTTTTTTTAAGCAGCTGTTCTGAATTTAACCCAAACAAATGTCAACATACGCCTCTCTTTACTGGTGGCAGGGATCAAATTGGTCCAAAAAAAAGAGACACCTGGGACATTTCAATAGCAAAATCGTGATATCGTATCGTCAAAAGTCTCTCAATAATATCGTGGGCCATCACGATATATCGAATCTCAAGTTAAGAATGTCAAGTCTTTGCTTAAATTAAGAGTTATGGTGCAGCAACAGCTAAAAAAAACAAAGGGAACTACATCAACCATGATCCTTTGCTCCGTTTTGAAGCAAACTACATGAAGAAATAACAGTTCTAAGCACTTTTAAATCTTAGTTCTTTAAATTAAGTCTTGTCAAGGCATTTAAAGAGGAAAAAGTCACATATTCACCATTTTGTTACCCTAAAAATATCGCAGTATCGTTTAGGTTTTGTATAAATCTGCTGGCACTGGGGACACAGGGTTCAAAACTGGGACTGTCCCAGGTAAATAGGAACATCTGGTCACCTTATTTATGGATACCAGAGGTGGGACCAAGTCATCAAGTCCGAGTCAAGTCCCAAGTCAAACACAGGCAAGTCCAAGTCAAGACTCAAGTCACTGGCCCATAAATCCAAGTAAAGTCCAAGTCGTCTGCTTTGAGCTTCAAGTCATTTCAAGTCTTGAAACCAAAGTACCAAATATAGTGTCGATTTTGGCAATTTATATGAATTTTAAACTAAATTGTACTTATAAAGTCATAGTATAATTATATATGAGTATTTATACAGTATATAAGAGTTGCAGACAAGCAAATTTTTCATTTTTAAATGTCTTGACAAGATCTTAGAGTGAATCATTACAGTCAGAATAAAACAAATCCAGATTTAAAAGAGCTTCTCAAGTCTTCTCAGGTTACAGATCTCAAGTCCAAATCAAGTCCCTAGTCTTAGACCATTTTATCAAATCAAGTCTCAAGTCCTAAAAATAGTGACTCAAGTTTGACTCGAGTCCAAGTCCTGACTTGCGAGTCTCCACCTCAGATGGAGACCAAACCAGACCAAGTTGCAGGACCAGGTTATCCCCAGGTTTGACTAGCCCAAACTGAAGACTTTTTAAAGACCTTTTTAAGACCACTTAAATGAAAATTAAGACCAACAACACACCCATTATGCGGGCGAAAAAAAAAACAAAAAACAAAAACCAAAGTATACAAAAAAATAGGCTAATGAAATTTAAGACCTTTGTGAAAAAATAAGACTTGGACAACATAATTTAAGACTTTTTAAGGCCTTAATTTAGGAAGATGAAATTTAAGACCTTTTTAAGACTTTTAAGACCCCGTGGTAACCCTGAGGTCAGATCAGTGGAGAACCGAATCTGCTCACAGTCAGAATGTCTATTTTTCTAGGTGTTTTTTCGCTATAAAACCACGTGTGATTGAATAAACGTAAAGTAGAGCTGTTTGATGTCGCACTGTGGAACATTCCGGACAGTCCAACTTGAGTATCAGAGCTTCTAACAGAGCAGTGCTTCCAGTTAGCTTCACCGCCCCAGGGAATATTGACGAAATCAGCTGCACAGTATCACTCCTTGCCTCTTTTTTTTTGTTTTGGTATGAGACAAAATGGCCCCTCATGTGTCGGGGAAAGTCTGCCTCTGCTGCTTGTTAACGCGCTCAGCTTTCATCCACGTCCAGGCTGCTCCTCTCCCCAAATGTGTTCAGAGTTTGTGGTTGAAATATGCAGAGAGACCAGGCCAAAAACTAAACAAAACAGTGATTTCCGTGAGTGTTAAAAGCTGGAAAACAATGGGGGTAAATATGAAGTTTGTAGGATACCTGCAGTGAAACGACTGGAATAAATCGAATACAAATAAAGGTTTGACAGCGTTCTGTTATTATGACACACGTATTATGCAAAAGTGGGTGTTTTGGAGCTTTTTTGTCATGTTTTAATATAGTTCACTGATTAAAAACACATTTTATTGCAGTTTTTGGTTCATTAATCATGTTTAATAAAAAATTCCCTGGATTGTTGCGTCGCAGTTAGAGGCAGTTTTTAAAGAGGGGGTACAAAATAGACATTTTGAAGCTTCCCACCATCTTATAAAAAAAAAAACATGCTGAAAGTTGCTTTAGATGTCATCCATGCATGTTTCAGTAATTTAGTGATCTCTCCCGTGCCTTATTCGAACCTTCCTTATGGTTAGCTTTGTGCCATACAAACTGCCCACTGTCCAGACCCATTTAAACCCTATAATTAAAAACATATTTGGAGTTTTATTTCACATTCATGTGTCATTTATCATGTTTAATTGAAAATTCCCTGGATTGTTGCATCACAGGTAGAGGCCGTTTTGAAAGGGAGGGTACAAAATAGAGTTTTTGGCACTTCCCACTATGTTATAAAGCTGTTCCCTAGTCAAAAACGTGCTTGATGTTGTTTTATATGTCATCCTTGCATGTTTGAGTAATTTTGTGATCTCTCCTGGGCCCTATTCAAACCCTCCTTACTGTCCAGTCACATTTAAACCCTGTAATAAAGTACAACGAGATGTAATATTGTTCCTTCCTAAAAGAAAAACATATCTGGAGTTTTATTTCACTTTCATGTGTCGTTAATCATGTTTAATTGAAACTTCCCTGGATTGTTGCATCGTAGGTATAGGCAGTTTTTAAAGAGGGGGTACAAAATAGACATTTTGGAGCTTCCATCCATGTCATAAAGTTGTTCCCTCATCCAAAACATCCTAAAAAGTTGTTTTATATGTCATTCATGCATGTTTGAGTAATTTAGTGATCTCTCCCAGGCCCTATACGAACCGTCCTTACTGTCAATAAAGCACAGAGCAATAATATTGTTCCCTCATAAAAAAAAAAAATTTAAAAAAAACATATCTTGAGTTTTATTTCACTTTCATGTTTCATTAATCATGTTTAATTAAAAATTCCCTGGATTGTTGCGTCACAGGTAGAGGCAGTTTTTAAAGAGGGGGTAAAAAATAGACTTTTTGCAGCTTCCCACCATGTTATAAAGTTGTTCCCTCGTCAAAAAGGTGTTTGAAGGGTTTTTTTTTTTGAGTAATTTAGTGATCTCTCCCGGGCCCTACTTGAACCTTGCTTAGGTTATCTTTGTGCCATTTAAACTGCTCAATGTCCAGTCCCATTTAAACCCTGTAATAAAACACACAGAGTCGTATCGTGGCGTAAAATACTCACTGATATGAGGAGCAGGCAGGATACGCGCCGTTCTGACAGGACCATGACGAACCGAGAACAACTCCTGAGCTTCACCTGCCAACTAGAAATATAAACAAATTAGATAAAATACATCACATGACAAGGAAATTAAAGTAAAAGTGACAAAAAAAGTAAAAAATGTTAAAAAGTTGCGACATTTTTCATAGTTTGTCGATGTTATATTCTACTGACAAAATGAATTAATAACATTATGACATGATACTTTTTCTTTTAGAGGTGCACTGTGTAACTTTTCGTGTAGGGGTCCTTCTTGTTTCTATGGAGATGTCATTGCTCTGCTTTGAATGTTCCACAGTGTGACTTTAAACATCTCTACATTACATTTATTCAATTACAGGTGGTTTTACAGCTCAAAAATACCTAGAAAAACAAACATTTTGACTGTGAGCGGAGTCGCCTCTCCACAGATCTGACCTGTAACTTGGTCTGGTTTGGTCTCCATGAAGATAGAAAAATTTAAATACCATACTGTGGAACATTCCAGTAAGGCTGTGCAATTAATTGAATTTTGATCATGACTTCGATCTCCAAGCTCATATAATCGTGTTGAAACAATAACATTTATTTTGGGATATTTATTTATTTTTTAATATAGAGATTGTAGAACAGCTCGATATATAGTTTATTTTGGATACATTTAAGTTTGTCTAAGCCTTATTTCATGTTCAAGTATATTTTATTCTTTTTTTTTTTGGTTTGTTTTATACATCACAAACTGCTCTAAGGTTCATTATTTGTAGCTTATATTTATATTCAATTTGACAGTTTTGCATAAATTATCAATAACAAAGTGGGGTTTTGTTTTTTTTGTTTATTTTTTGTTGTTGTATTTTTTTTCCTTTGACAGAAATTGAATAAATTGTTGAATAAATGTAGCTTGATTCATCAGCCGGTTTCACTTTGTAGAAACTGTCTGATGAACCTCGCAGCATTAGGATTCGTTCACTCGACAGTAGGCGGGTACTTTTCTTTTATTTAACCAATCACTGCTATTTGGTCGTGACGTTCGTAATGCGCCGCTAACGGGACTAACTGGTATATTAAGCTTTTCCCAAATCCTGTCGGAAGAAGGACAATAACGTCTTTCCCCTTGATAAAATTCACCAAACATTCTCTTTGTTCCGGCTTTAAATCCTCGATCTCGGGAACTGTTGCCAACACAGAATATCTGGCCCTTCGCTGATTGGCTGGAGCCCGAACTCGCACTTCTGGGAGTTTTTGCGAACCGTCTAGTGTATTTTGATTCCTGACCTAGTCATTGGAGAGAAATGAAATTGACACCAGCCTGGCTAGAATAAATGCATCCTGTAACTAAAAAATAATCATTTGAATCATCATGATTTCAATACTGATAATGATTTTCTTCCGTAATCGAGCAGCTCTACTGTGAAACATTCCAGACAAAACAATAACATTTGAGGAAAAGCATTTGACGGACTCTCCACTAGAAAAGTTACACAATGAACCTTTAAGAGCCCCATAGAAAAGCAGAGTCCATAGTCGCATCATCTAAAATTCTCCTTCAAAATCTGAAAAGAACACGGACTAGACATCGGCATAACGAAATCTCACGTTGTTGCTCCTTGTATTATCATTCAGGTAAAAAGCACAGTTAGAAAAATTATGAAAAATAGGAATTACAGAAAATAAGTGGTACTCAAACTGCACAAATAGTATAAAAATAAAATTATTCATCTAGAAAGTACAAAAGAAGTGACTCATGACTGATAAGCTCTGAATAAAAAGTAAAATAACTATATACATATGGTTTGAGATTGTTGGTTTGGCTGATTGTTAGTACTTAGATGGGAGACCGCTGGGAATTGTTGTGTCCTTGAGCAAGGCACTTCACCCACCGTACCTCCAGTGTCTATGTAGTGTATGAACAAGAGTGAGTTTGTGAAAATAAATGAATCCAAAGCTAAACATCGATCTGACGGACTAAAACAAATAACATTAAACGCATTCTGAAAGTCAATTTAAAGTTACATAATGCACTTTTTAGGTTCAAATCTTCGTATAATCTGCTGTCAGTTTCTAAGTGCGCCGAAGGAGCGTAATGTGTGAGGATTCAAATCTGATCTGAGATTGTCGGAAAGTCTCGGAGGGTTCAGCTAAAGCAGAACCATGTGGAGATGTGAAGTGGTCTGAACTGTGGCATCATGGCGGTTTAAGTAACAGCCAAACCATAAAGAGCAGCCTCACTGGAGCTGGGGCAGTGCCACTTTCAGACTCCCTCAAGTCAAACTAAGCAAAATGCAACTTAAAGCCACAGTATGGAACTTCTGAGCTCAAAAATGGATTAAAATAAAATACGAAATAAAAGCTCGTTTCTTTTTTTTACATTTTTATTGCACTGAAAATTGTGGAAAACATGTGATCTTACGGTGAATAGTCTTGCATCTCCACAAACCTGACTCCTATTTCCATGCAAATGTAGTTCCTTTGGTTATAGCGTTCCACCGTATACCATAAAACTTATCCGTCTCCCTGGAGAATGTTCCGCAGTATGGTTTTAACATCCTATTTCCACGGTATCATCGGAGTAGCATTAATAACGCCTCGCTCTTATCTCCATTACAGGCCCCGACAAAGCCTCTCAAAGCCTCTCCACTTTGTCTTTATAAAAACACTCCTCACTCAATCAGAACTTTATTTGTGTAGCACTTTTCATACACACACGATGCAGCAAAGTGCTTCACATAAACATAAACACAAACATATTTAAAAATAGCTTTCAAAAATGTGTAGTTGATGGTGGTAAGATACGATTGCAGCCACATCTGCCCTGGGACAGAGTGACAGAGGTCAATCTGTCATCGCCTCCTCCGACCACAACCACACACACCACTTTCGTACAATGTGAGTGAAGTGTCTTGTTTAAGGACACAACAGAACTTGATCTAAGTGGGAATCAATCCACCGACCACAGAAATGCACAAAACATTTTGCACTTCGCTTTGTTTACAGACAGTAGATATTTTTTATAGAAAACAATTTGCATCGTCGGCAGTGATGCGGTCGCTGTATCGGACCGTTGCGGTGAAGAGGAGCTGAGCCAAAAGGCAAAGCTCTCGATTTACCGTCAGTCTACGTTCCTCACCTATGGTCATGAGCTCTGGGTAATGACCGAAAAGACTAGATCGCGGATACAAGCGGTCAAAATGACTTTCCTCTGCAGGGTGTCTGGGCGCTCCCTTAGAGACAGGGTGAGGAGCTCAGAGTAGAGCCGCTGCTCCTCCACATCGAGAGGAGCAGCTGAGGCCCGGGCATCTGAACCGGTGCCTCCTGGGTGCCTCCCTGGAGAGGTGTTCCAGGCATGACCCACTGGAAGGAGGCCCCGGGGAAGACCCAGGACACACTGGAGGGACTATGTTTCTGGGCTGGCCTGGGAACGCCTTGGGGTCCCACCGGAGGAGCTGGAGGAAGTGTCTGGGGTGAAGGAAGTTTGGGAGTCCCTGCTCAGACTGATGCTCAGACTGAAGCGGAAGAAAATGGATTGATGGAACAATTTGTAAACGCAAATTATAATGTGTAGTATATGTACGGTATGTAGTAATAAGATATTTTATTGCAAAGATTCTGTTAAAGAAAACAGTCACTTTTACCCTTTAGACACACTAGTGGTAATAGAAGGTTTGTAGTAACTTGTAGTAGCAGGAAGAGTTTGTTTTGTAGTTTGTGAAAAAATACTCAAAAATATCTTTCAAAAATTTGCAGTTGATGGTGGTAGCAGTATTAATAGTAGTAGTAGTAATAGTAGTAACAGTAATAGTAGTAGTAGTAGTAGTAGTAGTAGTAGTAGCAGTAGCAGTAGCAGCAGCAGTAGTACTGATAGTAGTAGTAGTAGCAACAGCAGCAGTAGTACTGATAGAAGTAGTAGTAGTAGTAGTAGTAGTAGTAGTAGTAGTAGTAGTAGTAGTAGCAGCAGCAGCAGTAGTACTGATAGTAGTAGTAGTAGTAGTAGCAGTAGCAGTAGTAGCAACAGCAGTAGTAGTACTGATAGAAGTAGGAGTAGTAATAGTAGTAATAGTAGCAGCAGCAGCAGCAGTAGTAGTAGTAATAGCAGTAGTAGCACTAGTAGTAGTAGTAGTAGTAATAGTAGTAATAGTAGTAGTAGTAGTAGTAGTAGTAGTAGTAATAGTAGTAATAGTAGTAATAGTAGTAGCAGTAGAAGTAGAAGTAGTAGCAGCAGCAGCAGCAGCAGCAGCAGCAGTAGTAGTAGTAATAGTAGTAGTAGTAGTAGTAGTAATAGTAGTAATAGTAGTAATAGTAGTAATAGTAGTAGCAGTAGAAGTAGAAGTAGCAGCAGCAATGACCAAAATGTATTTTTTTTTAAAAAATAAGCATTAATTTTTTTGTATCTCCAAAACCTAAATACATGGGCCCATTCTCTCAAACCAGCTTAAACACACATTTAGAGCTTAACAATAAAAGGCTACGACCATTATCAAAGCTTTTTATCTATATTTTTTAAATATTTAAATAAAAAAAAACACATTGTTAAAGTGCTCTAAAGTCCGTCCGCATGTGCATTTGCTGCTTCCGTATTAGGTCAGCGCTGTTGTTTCTAATGGCACTGTCGTAAGCGCGGCGTGGCCCACTTTCTCTGTCATTTTTCTAAGCGTTAAATAACCATAAAACCTGCATTATCACTATCACCCGGATCTCTAATCTATTTGTCTTAAGTCCTTAAACCCATCGGGGGGGATCATCTCTCTTTTGCGCAATTAGTAAGCTTCGCAAAGTGGCGGATTTAGGGCGTTTTTATTCGTATTGTATTTTTATTCTTACTCAAAGTGCTGTAGGATTAACACTCCGGCGGGTTACGCAAGCAAAGATCACATGGAGCCGTACATACGAGCAAATGGAGCGGGGGAATAATGGAATTTGCAGATTAGATAGAAACAGGAGAGGTGGTAGGTTAATGCGTGTGCTTTTGTGTTACAAGGCTAAAACATCCCAAGACTTGCCATTACATTAGTGGCGTGCGCAATATGGCAAATCGATCCGTGTGTGTGTGTTGTTTTGTGTTTTTCC